AATGGAAATGTTTATGCCAGTTATAAAATTCTGGTTTGGGGAGTGGGAAAAAAAAGTGAATGGAGGGTCACAAATGGCAAATATCTTTTTTTGTGGGTGAATTATATATTCCATTATGTATATATGCTGCATCTTCTATATCCATTCATCTGTTGATGTGCACTTCAGATGCTTCCATGTCTTAGCAATTATAAATAATGTTGCTGTTAATAATGGGGTGTATGTATTTTTTTGAATTAACATTTTTGTTTTTGTCGGGTATATGCCCAAGCATGGAGTTGCTGGGCCATGTGGTGGTTCTATTTTTGGGTGTTTGAGAAACCTCCATATTGTTTTCCATGGTGGCTACACCAATTTGCGTTTCCACCAACATTGTACAAGGGTTCCCTTTTCTCCACATCCTTGCCAACATTTGTTATTTGTGTTCTTCTTGATGATGGTCATTCTGACAGGGGTGAAATGATACTTCATCGTGATTCTTACTTGCATTTCCCTGATACTAGTGATGCTGAGCAACTTTTCGTGTTCCTGTTGGCCAACTCCATTTCCTGTTTTGGAGAAGTGTCTGTTCAGTTCTTCTGTCCATATTTTAAATGGGTTGGTTGGTTGTTTGCTTTTTAATTGAAGTACAGTTGATTTAAAACATTGTATTAGTTTCTGGTGTACAGCATGGATGGACTTGGGCGTTATGCTAAGTGAAGTAAGTCAGACAGAGAAAGACAAATACTGTAAGATATCACTTATATGTGGAATCTAAAAAAAAATACAACAAACTAGTGAATATAACAGAAAAGAAACAGACTCACAGATACAGGGAAGGGACTAGTGGTTACCAGTGGGGAAAGGGAAGGGGGAGGGGCAAGATGGAGGTGGAGGATTAAGAGGTACAAACCATCAGGTGTAAAATTAGCTACCAGGATGTACTGTACAGCATGGGGGGTAGAGCCAGTATTTTATAATAACCATAAATGGAGTATAACCTTTAAAAATTGTGAATTACTATACTATATATCTACATGCATATAATATTATACCTGTATAATACTGTATACCTAGCTATACTTCAACTTTTAAAGTACTGTCCCTATTATAAAATAAATGCATAAATAATTTTTTTAAAAAAGAAGGAAGGTGGGTTTCTGGATCACAGAGCCTGCCTCTTGTCAGTGCACTGCTTAGACAGCGCAATGAGAGGGGTCCAGACTTAGACTGTCCCTGCTCCTGTGGGGTCATCAGAATCCTTTCTTGCCCTGCCAGCAGCAGGTTACCCTGGCTCCTGACTTTCTGGCCATGGGGCCACCTTCCTGCTCCCAGCTGGTGCCTTGTGCTCCACTTGGGGGGCAGTACAGCAGCAGTCCTGGTTTGCAGTGAGGCCATTTGATGTGGAAATCAGGAACCCTGGTGGCTCTTGTGGTTTGTTCCAACTCTAGCGTACTAGACAAGGTATTTCACTTTTCTGGACTTTGAAATTACTATCTGCAGGGTGGGGGGGTATAGCTCAGTGGTAGAGCTCATGCTCAGCATGCGTGAGGTCCTGGGTTCCATCCCCAGCACCTCAGTTAAAATAAAATGAAATAAAGTAAAATTACTACCTGCAAAATAGTTTTGTTAATTTCTACCTCCCAAAACCCACCTGGCTGTTACATAGGCAAATGAAAGTAAATACATCACAAGGGCTTTAAACTGTCCAGGGTTTTTCCTTTTTGAGTAGACTTGCTACTTTAACTTTTAATTATTTAACTCTTTATTATTGAATCTTTGTAAACACATACAAGCAGATGATACAGCAGATTTCCATGTACCTATCACGCAGTTTCAACAGCCATCGACACTTCGCCATCTTTGTTTTACATATCCAGTCCATATTCAGACACCCAAAAAGATCTTTTTATAAAAGTAGTTTTGTTCAAATCTGTATCCAGTCAAGTTCTAGTCATTATGTTTGGTTGTTATATTTCCTTGAAACCAGGAAAGTCATCCTTTTTTTGTTGTTGTTTTTACTAGCTTATTCTAAAGCTAGTTGGAAAGTGCACATTTAGGGTTGGCTGATTGCTGCTGCTTAGTGTCCTTTGACGTGGTTGAATCCTTTAAATTTCCTATAAACTGAAAAATTAGATCTAGAGGCATGATTATATTCAGATTAAAAAACTATTTTGCGAGCGTTCATGATGGATGATGCCATGTACTTTCTATTGCGTCCCAGCAGGGGGTGCCTGATGGCCTGACTTGTTCTGTCCCTGTGATGAGGTTTACCCTCCAGTTCAGCTGATGAGAGCCCGATCCCTTCACGCCATCGATACTTAGCTTAATGGTTCCACCATTCACTGATGACCATTGTCTGAGTCAGTTATGTCATTAGGATTGCAAGATTGTGATTTTTTTCCTTATTTTACCATTTCTTCTTTATTAATGAACTGTAATTTTTCTGTGTAGAATAATTTTCCCTCATTTGTTAGAGCTGTTTGGTTATCCTGAAGTACAGTGCATACTAGAAAGTAGGGGTAAATGCTGAGTTCTGTGCCTTTGATTGTCAGTTTGCAGGGAAATGGGTGGGCATCCCAGCAGTCTTCAGTAACATTAAATGACTTGTTTTCTGTATCTGTCTCTGCCTCCACCATCTCTCTTTCCCTTCTTCCTCTCCATTTTTCTCTCTTCTCTCTTTTAGTAATTTTGTCATAGCTGTTAAAGCAATTTAATTTAATCAGTTGTAGTCATTTTCTGATTAATTCTGAAATTATTCCATCTTTAGCCAGTGGAAGCCCCTTCGGGCTGGTGCTCTTGTCCCTTTGACCCAATTCCACTAGTCTTTGATAATTTCTTTGTTTCTGGTGAAACAAATGTTTCACCAGATGTTTGTAGGCTCACTCTGTACTTTCCCAGCCTGTGCCCTGGAATTGGCCACTTTTCCAAGGAACTCTGGTTTATTTTAGTGGGGAATGGTATTTAGAGACTTTAATCTGGGATCAGGTGTCCTCAGTGCTACCAGTGGTCATTGCTTTCAGGCCTCTCCAGTGGACAAAGCTAGGAAATATATATATTTAAAGATGCAGAAGAAATGTGGTTGCCAGAAGCTGGCAGGGAGGGGAGGATGGGGAGTTACTGTTTAATGCATACAGAGTTTCAATTTGGGAGGATAAATGGTGGTGATGGTGATACTTAATGCCACAGAACTGTACTCTCAAAAATGGCTAAATATATATATATAAAATAGATAAACCCCAAGGTCCTCCTGTATAGCACAGGAAACTACCTTGTAATGGCCTATAATGAAAAAGAATATGAAAAGGAATATATATATATATATATAATATATATATATATATATATCTGAATCAATTAATACATTGTAAGTTGACTATACTTCAATTAAGGAAAAAAATAGCTATATGTATTTTACCACAATGAAAAAAATAAAATCTCTTATGGCAACAAAACAGAAAGAGAGAGACAAATATGAGAACTTCATACTAGTATTTCTATATCAAACCCATTTTTAAATTATAAGAATTTTGCTGAATTTTTGAATTTTATGATTTTACATCTTTTATTTCGTCAGTCAAATCTCGGTCAGAGAATAATTCTGTAATGGTAATTCTCCCTGGTTCTGGCTTCCGCTCCATTTGGGGATCTGCACTTCATTACTTCATATTCTGAATCTTTCCACTGTCTTCTTTTTTGGCAGACTTTACTACCAGGTCTTGCTGGCCCCTCTGGGGAAGTGGTTAAATCTACAGCGGGTGTGACCTCCTCAGCTGCTTCTGGAAGTGGCGACAAGGTCTATGCCTACCAGATGGTCCGCACAGATTCCCGGGAGCAGAAGCTCGATGCCTTCCTGCAGCCTGTGAGCAGGGCCCTGTCCAGTCAGCCCCAGGCTGATGTCCCAGAGGACAGGACAGATGCTTCTAGTAGCGGGGCCAGGCAGCAGGATGAGGAAATGCCTGAACTCCTAGCTCCTGCTGAAGCAGCTGCCAGTCATCAGGGCCTGGAGAGGGATGCAACAAAGAAGGCTTCAGAGTCATCAGAGAAGAGAGGGCCACCTTCCAGCCCGGAGAACCCCAGGTACGGCCTTGCCTGACTCGCCCTCTCCCTCTGATGGGATGGTGCTAGGGCCTGGTCCACTGTCTGCGTTTGACCATGGCTTGAGAGTCACCCATCACAGTGGCCTTTGAAATACCTTAAATGTCTATGATTCCAAACATTATATAAAAATACATCAGAAGGAAAAATCAGAAGATTTATCCTTTAATTTTAGTAATGAATTTTGATAAAGCCTCAACAGCAGAGGGGGCTGGAAAGAGGGGCCTAAACTATCCAGAGGATTCTTTCATCTGCTCAGAGCTGCTCTCACTCCTTTCAGAAGCACAGTTTTTCACTTCAAAGCACAAAACTCCCTGAAGCACATGAGCAGCTGGTGAAAGAGGTAGAGAGGGGCAGGGACAGCTGTACTAGTGACTGTTGTTTAATTTTGAGCATCTTCAGTGCACCCTCTGCAGGTGCTTTAAGGGCACGTCATTGAAATCTCCTTGTGCAGGTACTGACCGCGGAGCTCAGGGTGAAGTCCTTTGCCCAAGGCCACACGTTTGCCTGATGGCTGACCCCCAAAACACTGTCTCTAACTGCCTGTTGCAACTCGGGCAAGTTTCTTAATTCCAGTTTGCTCATTTCCAAGCCAGCCGAGCAAGACGACTTACAGGATTTGTGTCCAGAGAATAATAAAGGATGCTGCCATTTATCGAGCATCCGCCATGTGTGCTGGGCACCTTGCGTGCATGATCTCATTTAATGCTCTTAAAAGCCTGGCCAGAAAGTGTTCCATTTCTGTTTATCACTTGGCGAACTAACCACCCAGCATTCAGAGAAATCTTTCTAAACCAGAAATCAGTATATCGCTCCTCTGCTGAAAACTGGTGCTTCCTACTGCTCTTGGGGTGAAACCAGCCTGCCCGCCCCCAGTCCACTCCCTTCCCCCCCGTGGGGGCACTTTGGCCGCACTGCCCCTGCAGGCGACCTGACCTCACTGAGCTCTCACCCTTTTGCTGTCACTGGTCCCTGGGCCCAGGAACACTCCAGCTTCTTGTCACTCAGGTTTCAATTCAGATGTCATATCACATGTTGCCAGAGGCCTTCCTTGTCCGTGTAATCTAAAGTTCTCTCTCCTCTTGCTTCCTCATCATTCTATCATGTTACCTTGTTTTATTTTCATCACAGCGCGTGTTGCTACTTAAAGTGACCTTGTTTCCATTGTTGTTTGACTCACCCCCTAAAAAGTCAGCATGGTGAGGACAGGCACCTTGTGGGCTTGTTCATGGCCATAGGAGGTTGGCCTTCTGACAGTGCCTAAGGGATGGAGAGATGGAAGGCTGAGTGAAGGAGATTTGGCCAGGTTAGCCCACTTGCCCAAGGCCCTGCAGGTCTACGGGCTGAGCCAGGTTCCAAAGTCCAGCTGCTCGGGCCTGAGGGGTGTCAGATGAGCGATATTCAGGAGAACAGGCTGATCTCACTAGCCTGCCACCAGCACGGGGAGCCCTCCCCAGGTGTGCAGAGCCAGCACAGAGAAGCTGCTCTCTTCTCCAGCATGTAAGACACAAAATTCCAAAAGATACATTCACCTCAGTGTTCATCACAGTACTCTTTACAATAGCCACAACGTGGAAGCAACCTAAATGTCCATCGACAGATGATTGGATAAAGAAGATGTGGTATATGTACCTCGTATCCAATGAGTGCTGCTCAGCCATAAAAAAGAGTGAAATAATGCCATTTGTAGCAGCATGGATGGACCTAGAGATTATCATACTAAGTGAAGCAAATCAGACAAAGACAAATATGGTATGATATGTGGAATCTAAAATGAGTAGTATTCCATTGTATAAATATACCACAGCTTCTTTATCCTTTATCTTTATGTGTTGGCTATTGTAAACAGTGCTGCTGTGAACATTGGGGTTCATGTGTCTTTTCAAATTAGAATTCCCTCCAGGTATATGCCCAGGATTGCTGGATCATATATAGCTCAGTGGTAGAGCACATGCTTAGCATGTGTGAGGTTCAATCTCCAGTACCTCCATTAAAAAAAAAAATTAAAAACAAACAAGTAAGTAAACCTAATTACCTCCCCTGCCCTGAATTTTTTTAAATGACACATATGAACTGATTTATAAGACAGAAACAGACTAACAGACCAAGAAAACGAACTTATGGTTACCAAAGGGGAAAGGAGAGGGGAGGGATAAATTAGGAGTTTGGGATTAGCAGATACAAACTACTTACTATGCATAAAATAAACAACAAGGTCCTACTGTATAGCACGTGGAACTGTATTCAGTATTTTTTTAACCTATAATGGAAACATGAGAAGGAATATATATTATATGTGTATGCAAAACTGAATCACTATGCCTGTACACCTGAAACTAATAGTGTTGCAAATCAACTCTACTTTAATTTTTAAAGAAAACAACAATAAAAGTTTTTTAAGACAGTAATGAGCTGCCTGTTCCTTATCTGCTTTGTAGAAAGCGACATCGGGAAGGCTCTGACACGGAAACGGTGGACGATGCATCCCGAAAGGAAATGACCGCAGCTTGTACCCCCCGGAGGAGGATCATTAACCTCACCAGCGTTCTGAGTCTCCAGGAAGAAATTAACCAGCAGGGACATGAGGGTACGTAAATGCCCAGGGCTGCCTGGGACCTCCAGGCTGGAACTGCTAAAGTGAAATATTTGGAAATGCAGAAAGCATTCATGTTGGGATGGCCTCTGTGCTGAGCAAACCTTGCTTCCCATATTAACCTGTGGTGGCAGCAGCTTTAAAGATAATTTTCAGCTCGGGGAAGGAGGGAAAAAGTAGTCTCTGGCTTTAAATTAGAATTAATCGGTACTCTCATTAGACCACAGAAGTCAGAGTAAAGTGGTCATTTAAGTAATCCCCAGTCTGTTCCTGTCTGAGCTAAAAGTGTAATGATAGCACATTTCTAATCCTGTGGCCTGACTGGGGTGTGCTGTTGCTGAAAGTGCACAGGCTTGGGAGGGCCCTAGTTGCTACCCTGGCACTCCTGCTTCTGCTGTGTGACCTTAGACTCCTGACTTAACCTTTCTGTGTGCCTCAGTTTTTCCTCATCTGTAAATTGAGATTAATTTTACCCCTGAAGATTATTGTGCTGATGAGAGAGAAAATGGTAAGTAAAACACTTGTTACATAGTAAGGAGTCAATAGATATTTTTATATCCCAAAGACGAAGTGAAAAAAAAAACGTTATCATCTTCCTCAGAAACAGCTTTCAGAATACCTGAGTATAGAAGTCCATCTGGGTTACTGTTACTCCAGAAGTAACTTGTGGTTATAGGAATGAAAAGGAGGCTCGTCATATCCCAGGGATGAAGTGATGCAGGGACTGAGGTGTGTGATGGTGACATGGTCCTAACAGCAGTGCTGACCCCACTCGATGAGTCAGTGATGCTCCAAGTGGCCTTCGTTGCTGGGGCTCCAGGGGGCAGCCTTGCATGCTTGTCCATGCAGTTTAGCCCCAGCCTTTCCACTCCTCATCCCCTACCCATTTCTTTTTATTGAAGTACAGTCAGTCACAATGTATCAGTTTCTGGTGTACAGCACAATGTCCCAGTCATGCATATACGTATTTAGATTCATTTCATCTCCTTTTTCATTAAAGGTTATTATAAGATTGAATGTAGTTCCCTGTGCTATACATATGAAATTTGGTTTTTATCTGTGTTTATATATGGTAGCTAACATTTGGAAATCTCAGATTCCCAAATTTATCCCTTCCCACCTCTCTTTCCCCTAGTAACCATAAAATTGTTTACTATGTCTGTGATCCTGTTTCTGTTTTGTAGATGAGTTCATTAGTGTCCTCTTTTTTTTTTAAAGCTTCCACATATGAGTGATATCATATGGCATTTTTCTTTCTCTTTATGGCTTACTTCACTTACAATGACAATCTTCAGATCCATTCATGTTGCTGCAAATGGCATTATTTTATTCTTTTTTATGGCTGAGTAGTATTCCATTGTATAAATATACCACAGCTTCTTTATCCAGTCATCTGTCGATGGACATTTAGGTTGCTTCCATGTCTTGGCTATTGTAAACTGTGCTACTATGAACATGTATTTTTTCAAATTAGAATTCCCTCCAGATAAATGCCCAGGATTGCTGGATCATATGGTACATCTTTTTTTAGTTTTTTGAGGAATCTCCATACTGTTTTCCGTAATGGCTGCACCAAATAACATTCCCACCAGCAGTGTAGGAGGGCTCCCTTTTCTCCACAGCCTCTCCAGCATTTATCATTCATGGACTTTTGAATGGTGGCTATTCTGACTGGCGTGAGGTGATATCTCATTGTAGTTTTGATTTGCATTTCTCTGATAATTAGTGATATTGAGCCTTTTTTTCATGTGCCTGTTGGCCATTTCTGTGTGTTCATTGAAGAGCTGCATTTTTATGTCTTCTGCCCATTTGTGTATTGGGTTGTTTGTTTGTTATTAAGTTGTATGAGCTGTTATATATATTCTGGAAATTAAATCTTTGTCAGTGGCATCATTTGCATATATTTTCTCCCATTCCGTAGGTTGTCATTTCGTTTTACTTATGGTTTCCTTTGCTGTGCAAAAGCTTGTAAGTTTAATTCAGTCCCATTTGTTAATTTTGCTTTTATTTCTATTGCTTGGGTAGACTGCCCTAGGAGAACATGGCTAAGATGTATGTCAGCGTGTTTTGCCTATGTTTTTTCCTAGGAGGTTTATCGTGTCATGTCTTAGTTTAAGCCATTTTGAGTTTATTTTTATTTCTGTGTAAGTTGTGAGGGAGTGTTCTAACTTCACTGATTTACATGCTCCTGTCCCATTTTCCCAGCACCACTTGCTGAAGAGACTGTCTTTTCTCCATTGTATATTCTTGCTTCCTTTGTCGAAGGTTAATTGACCATAGGTCTGTAGGTTTATTTTTGGGCTGTCTATTCTGTTCCACTGGTCCATATGTCTGTTTTTGTACCAATATCATGCTGCTGTGATTACTATCACTCTGTAGTATTGTCTGAAAGTCTGGGAGGGTTATTCCTCCAGCTTCACCCTTTTTCTGCAGTGTTGCTTTGGTAATTCTGGGTCTTTTGTGATTCCATATGAATTTTAGGATTATTTGTTCTAGTTCTGTGAAATATGTCATGGGTAGTTTGATAGGAATTACATTAAATCTGTAGTTTGCCTTAGTCAGCGTGACCATTTTCACAATATTGATTCTTCCAGTCCAAGAACATGGGATATCTTTCCATTTCTTTAAGTCCTCTTTAATTTCCTTAATCAAAGTGTTTTGTAGTTCTCCCCATATAAGTCTTTCACCTCCTTGGTCAGATTTGTTCCTAATATTTTACTGTTTTGGATGTGATTTTAAAAGGGATTATTTCTTTACTGTCTTTTCCTGCTATTTCATTGTTAGTGTAAAGAAATGCAACTGATTTTTGTATGTTAATCTTACATCCTGCTACCTTGCCGAATTCTTTTATCAGCTCTAGTAGTTTGTGTTTGGAGCCTTTAGGGTTTTCTATATATAGGATCATGTCATCTGCATATAGTGACAATTTTACCTCTTCTCTTGGTGTATTGGTGGGAGACGGTGAGCCAAGTGTCCTTCCACTCCGCCATCTTGGCACCCCCTTCCTCTTATCCATTTCTTAATTAAACAAGTTAAATTTCAACACTGCTATAAAATGTATGTCAAAAGAAATGAGTGGCCAGGGAGCAACTCAGTACCTTCTCTGCTGATCCGTACCCTCTTGAACAGCTCTCAGACTCAGAAGCCCCTTGCCTTTTCTTGTCTCACTCACCGTGTGTCTGGACGCTTCCAGGAAGGCCTCAGATGGCCCTTCCTCGTTCCTTCTTTCTTTCCTTTGCACTCCGGGCCTTCGTGTGCGGGTGGGGAGAGGCATGGCATATGTGTTCACGTGGGAAGGGTACACACTCGCTGTGACTAAGGTCTTGCCTGGTGTAGACCAGTTGGCTTCTGATTTCTGTTTCCATGAAGATTCACTCCCCTTGCTCTTTCCCTCAGTTACTGGCTTTCAGGCTGGGAGCTCTTAAAACCATTTAAAATAATTAAAGGGAGAGGGGGCTATTGCTTGATGTGTTTAGCAGTCTTCCTCACAGTTGCTTGAATTGACAGACTCCCTCAGATTTGGAATTGAATGAGTTTTCTTTAAGGCTTTGTAGTTCTCACACACAGCAGGATATTTAAAGTCATCATTTCAATAGATTTCGGAATAGTTGCCAACTATTTTCAGTGCAGGATAAAACTATCCTGCACCAAATTTGGTCAGGTTTGGAGTCCATTGCTGAGGCTGGGTTGATAATCTAAATGTTCTAAAATTGTGTATTCATGCATGTTATCTCATTTAATTCTAAAATAGTCTAGGGAGGGAGGCAAGCAGTTACTGCTATCTCTGCTTTAAAGATAAGGAAATGGCATGGGAGATGAGCCTCAGAGGCTCCTGGCAGTTTAGTGGGAACTTCCTAGCAATGAAAAACAGGCCTGGGTACCTGCCTTGTCAAGATGGGTCATTACTGGAGTGGCCTCAGCCGGAGGCTAGCCCAGGATTTAGATGCAAACCTAGGTCTGCTGCTGTGGGACAAGCACTGAGCCCTTAGGCTGAGGCTTTTTGCAGGCAGGCAGTGTAGGGTCTCACAGAGGGAGTCACTCGCTGTCTGGGTGTGGGGAGTGGAGTGAGCACTTCTTTGAAGCCTGGAGAACTCTGCTGAGGCTCCCGGCAGCCAGTGGGAAATGTGTTCATCTTTTGGGGATATCATTTCCCTGCTCTGTAAACTGATGCTCCTCTGCAGCCCTTACTGGACTGTTGTAATGAGCACCTGAGACCCGTGTGTAAGGGGAAGGGCCCCTGCCTCAGGTCCTGCCCACCGGCACCTGTTTATACCCACAGCCCCAAGCAGGAAGCTGGTGGTCTGGGTTGAATGCCATGCGGGGACTTCTCTGAAGCTCGGATTTGGGGAGGTGGGCCAAAACCTGGCTGCTACCTCACAGAACTGTGCCCCTGGCCCAGAATAGAAGTAAGATGCTTTCTGTTAAGGACACTCTTAGTTGCTCTCACTTGTGTGATTATTTCATCGTGGTTTCCAGCAGAGAGCCTTGCGTTGGGACGCAGGAGATCTTTGCTAAAGGAGTGACTGGGAGGGCGAGCCTGGGAATTTTTATTCTGAAGAGATATCAGAGTTGGAACCTTTATCAGACATCTTTGTTGAGTCCATGGATTTACCTGCTCCTCTGGGCACACTTCCAATTAACAAACAAGGTTAATATCTGGCCCAGTGTCCAGTCACGTGTTCCATGGAATTAGGCTCATCTCGGATTAGTAATGACCAATTTACTTATCGCCAGTCACGTTATTTTGATCTGTTAATTAAGGAAGAGGAGGAATGTCGTAAATTATTTGCTATCACTTGAATCTGAAAATGTGCTTAACGTTTTATTCTTAATTTTATTATATTTTCTTGGTCTTTGGTGAACAAACCAGGGCTTAAATGTACATATTCCCTATGGTTTGTCTCTAGATGACACTTTCTTTTGGTGCAGAAGATGAATTGAGCAAGCATTAGTTGAGTGTCTTCTGTACAGAAGTGCGCTGTACCAGGCCTGGA